CAGCAGCTCCTTAAGCCTTAGCTTTTGTTAATTTGTGGAGAAAACAGTGAACTGCTTTCTATCCTCACATCTGGAAGGAACAACCCATCATCACTCACACAAATTGTCTAATTTGATATTCCACAAGTCCATCTTCAAAACACATCCTTAAACTGCAGTGCCTACCAGAAACTGGTGGTTTAGAATTGTGAAGACCAGCTGCCATGCTATCACCTTCCTCTCCTGCCCACATGTGTGTGTTGCTTCCTGGAGTAGGAAGCAAGCAGCTAGGAACAAGGACAGTGTTGAGTTTGGTTTCATACATTTAGCATAACTGGATCTTTAGCTGTAATATAGAGGTTTTAGAAGTTAGCACAGAATCAGCAGTAATAATGTTAAGGGTCGCACTGGAGCTTGATAGCTCTGTTATTCCTTCAGCAGCGCAGTGCTCCACCTGATTCCTTCTGATTTTTTTGGGTTTCCTTGAAGCTTTTGTTTTCCATGTGCTTCAGAAAATGCATGTTGCACTAAAGCATTTCTTTATAGAAACTCTTCTTTTCTTGCTGCAGTGGGAAACAGTCTGCCTGCAAATCAGGTTTTTCTTTGCTGCCTTGTAAAATCAGTCATTTTCCCTTTCTATGTTGTTCTTAGCTCTACTCCAGCCTCAGTCCTAGCCTGATTCCCATCTCTGCCCTTTCTCTTAATTGTGTTGTGAACATTCATCTTTGTATCAAAACAAAACTTCAACTTTCAGAAGCATTTAACACTTTGCTTTTCTTTCAATATAAGCAAAATCATCTCAGCATGGGACATTTGCCAGTGTGCTGATAGGAGATGGACAGCTGGGCATCTGAGGATAGCTTGCAGTTGTCTCTGGTTATCTGGGCACTCAGTGTATGTCTTTTGATTTTCATGTAAGAGGAATATTGCCCCAATTTTTCTGAAGGTGACAAAATCAACCGTAGAAATTAGGGGAGAAAGTAGGAACAGTGGGGTGAGAAAGGTTGAATGAGGCCTCTGAGAGGAGGGGGAAAGTTAAAATTCCAATGAAAATAATTGTGGGCTACATCCTGAAGCCTGCCCTGCTGATTTATCCTTCACTCTAACCTTTTCACTCTCTTCCCACTGATGTTGACCTGGTAATACAATATTCTGCCCACATCCCACTGAGAGATATCTCACCCCAAATATTGGGGTGTTTTTCAGGATCTTCCACTGGGGTGCCCAGGGGTTTCATTGTTGGATGTCTGCACTGATGGAACACGTCTTCTCGAGGAGCTCCACTGGCACTACCTGTCAGAGCTACATAGCCATAAAAGTGGACTTGATTTTCTCAAGTAATATGGCAGATCTTTGTTTTATTGTGGGAAACAACCCCCAAAAAACCCCAACCTCTAATTCTTGCAAAGCATCAACAGAGGGCTCTGCAGCCTGACTAGTCCACATGTGTGCACCACAACTTCCGTGCCCTAACTGGGAACCCCTGCTGCTGCAGGGAGTTGGGTACTGGCTTTGTAAGTTGAGCTAGAAATACCAGGAAGATATTATTGTTTCTGTCTGAGCAAAAGGAAAGAAAAAGGTCTGTGTGATGTCTCTCTCTCTCAGGTTCCCCCTGCCCAATGGGGACAACGTCGGTGTGAGCACTGCAGGAAGTGGAGCAGGGCAGCAGCTGTGTGTTCCTGTGCTTCTTTATGAAGAAGTGCTAAAATAGAAAATTAAAGAAACAGAAGTGTTTATCTGAGAGAACTTCAGTGGGAAACAAAGCTTGTAGTTATTTACTTTCTGATTGTCTAGAATTTGCTATTTTATAAATAATAAGTAACTGTGTGGTAAGCGTCACACTTAGCAAAGCTTCATATCAAAGCAGCAAAGCGGATTTGTTGCCAGCTATTTGTTTCAGTACTCAAAGGGTTTCATTGAAAGTCTGAAAAGGGAAGTTGTCTTGAGGCTTAGATCTGTAATTCCTTTCAGCATTTCCTTTTAAACTTCATGTTTACCTTCTGCAAAAATCTAATACCACCTGTTTGGTGCAAATTTAACAGATATTTTCATACTTTAAAATTTGGCTTTTTCTCCAATCCGGAAAAGATTTGCCCTAGACTTGGGTGAGATGGTTAGCTTCTGCTGTTGCAGGAAGTGGTTTGACTTAACTTTTTTTTTTCTAGCTTTCTTTCTATCTCTATGAGCTGAGAGAGATTAACCCAAATGCTAGCTATGGACACGTGACCAAGAAGTTTTCCGTTTTTTGAAACAGTTAAACTGTTGCTGGTTGATGACAGTTTGAGATGAGACGACGACGTCTGTGAGGCTGTAGGTAAGGAGTCTTAAATTCATCGTCATCTAATTCAGGAAATCTGATAATGGTTTTAATAATCTCTGTAACTGTTTGTGTTCTGTATGCTTTCAATACAAGTTGTATTAGCTTGACTATTGTCATTTTTTTTTCATTTGAAAACAATGTGGAGGGCGCTAACAAGAAATTATGCTTTAAATGTATAATTGATATTCAGAATCTAAAAAAACTGTCATCTCCTCAGATATCCACAATATCTAATCATCTGTAACATCCTGATCATTTCTCCCATCTGTATCACTTGTCATGCTCAAAAGTAGGAAAGATCAGCAGTACTGCTTGGGAAAACCACTTGAGTCGTGTTTCCCTCTTCTTACCTTGTCTGGCTGCAGCTAACATTGTGTATTTAACTGGCTTCCTTGCTGGTGACCATGAGGGTTGTGATCAATAATGGTGGATTCTGCAAGAGTCAGTGAGTGGTGGAGGTTCGTCTCTAGTTGATGGGAGGTATTGCTGTAGACTGAAGAGTCTCTTGCCCTGCTCCATGTCAGCTAGCTTGGTACTACTTTATTACTCATCAGTCGTTGCAGTAAAAATAGGGCATGGGGAAGTGTAAGGGTCATTGTACAAAAAATACTCCTGGTTTACCCATGGGGACTCTCAACGCTTCTCTTTATGGAGTATTTCCACCACTGCTTGGTGGAAATGCCACAATAGCATGTTTCTGCATAAAGCTATTTAGATCCAGCCTGTTTTGTCATCTGCTTTGGAGCCAGCCACAAACAAAATGAAAAATGCAGAATTAGCTTTAGATTTCTCTCCTTACGCAAGCACTGCTTTCTGGCTTTTAAAGATGTACAAAGAAATCATAAGGTTGGAAGATGTTCAAATAACACAATAGAGTGTTCTGATTACAGATCACACAAAGGAGGGACAAAATTTGTTTTCCTGCTAATACATAGTTTTTGCAAAATTGGTGACATGCTCATGTTTGTAACTGATAACCTTACCATTAGAAGCAACTTGTTTCTCATTTGGAAATATGGTCAGAGTTGAAAGAAATCACACATGGATTTAAGTTCATTTTGAAATCATGTATAGTAATCAGAGACAGATTTTGGAGCAGCATTGTAAGACTACATTTCAGATTTTCTATACTATATTTGGAAGAAAAAAAGTTGTCCTGCCTGCGTACACAGCACAGACAGGGAAATTGTATAAAAAGAACACATTGTCCTGCTGGGCTGTCTGTAGTGGTTTTTATGCGACTGCTTCAATGTTTTAGAGTGATTTGAAATGCATTTTTTTCCACAGAGCTGTGAGATTTGGTAAACTAAGTCTGGATTCTCAGATTCATTTTTTTTTAAATTCTTTTCTTCGCCATTTAGCTCTTTGTGTCCAAAGGAAATTCATTTAAAAGCAACATTTCTTGTTCGCTTTACCTCTCAATCCAATTACATCAGTAGCACATATTTGTTCATTTTCTTTTTCAAATGGAACAAATAGCCCCAAAATTCTGTGTTTTAAAGTTTATACTGTATACTACAATGAAATTACAAAAGATGGTTTTGCTGTGCTGTCCAGAGACTTCAGCTCAGCTCTGTGCTATGGAGTCCCACAGACTTTTAGCAGCAGGATAAGAAGGTACCTCCTCATGGCCTCTTTCTACCAGGTCACGTGGTGCTTAGGGGGTTTACCAAATTCTCTGACACCCACAGTGTGCAATTCTGATACTTTTTGGAAATATAATCTCTGCTGCATCAGCTCCATTGGTTTGAGTTGCTAATCACTGTTGTTGAAGCCCGCATACTTGTAAAATCTTTCCCTTGATGCTGGAGAAATCTCTCTGTTATGTGTGCTGTTAATCAGAGATCTGAAACATGATGTTTGTACTGATCCTTCCTATCCTGGCATATCTAAGTGTAGCTTGGGTTGATCTTTTAAAAACAAAAGAAAGCATCACTGGAACTTCAGCCAGTTTCTGTGCATCCCATCTCTCAGTTAAGACTTCTACATGGATTTACCGAATCCATTTCACAGGCGGTGGTGGATGCCATCTGTATGAAGTTGCTTTGATAACTTTCATGGTTTTCTTTGTTGATAGCTTTAGTCCTGTACCACTGAGGTGGGTTGAAATGTTGGCCTTTGACTATGTATCTACCATGATAATTTAAGTGCCATTCAAAGCACAATAACAGTTTTCTTTGCCTGATAGCACACCCTGCACAAAACCACCTCCTTTTTCCTTCCTGTAGAGACTTCCAGCATCTTTTGTCATCGTGAAACTGTTTGCTGCAATGCTGTCTTTTTCTCAGAGCAGGCTGAATGCTTGCTTCAGCTCATTTACAACAGCACAATCTCCTGCTGGTTTTCTATTTGGAAACCTGCAAACTTGTTCTAGATGAGGGTGCTTTAATGTTATCTGTTTCTGAAACCTTCTCACAAAAATGATCTGCATCTATCAGTGGTCTCAATCTTCATTGCACTGGTAGCTCTTTTATCAGCATCCAAAAGAGGTGATCATTCACTCACATAGGAATGAGACCTTGTATTGTGGAGTCTATGGACTCCCATCATGTTTATTGCAACCTGAAGGACAGTGAGGTGACAACTTCCAGCCTGGATGAAATAGGAGGAAATGTTTTGGGTTTTTTATTTATTTATTTATTTTTAAGAAGGTTATATAAATGGGAAAAGCACATGTGAGTTTTCTCAGCTTGCTTTTGCAACCTGAGTGAGGCAACTGGAACTCCTACTTGCACTCAGTCTGTGTATGTGGTTAGCTCTTGCTGGATGCTTAGGCTGGTAATTGTTTAAGGCACATACATCATGACATTCCAGATACTGAATCGTTCACTTGTATTATTGTGGGTTTTCTCCAAAGTCTATTTCTATGAACTAAACTGGCACAAACAAATGAACTTGAAGTGACCTCTGACTCCTCCAAGACACACACCAATTTTTCAGCACAAGTGCAACATGAAAAGGGGAGGTGGGTGAGAAAAGGAGGAAGAAAAACCCAGAAGTGAATATGACTGAGAGCTCAGGAGATGTGCTTTAAGGATGTGCTTGCCTTTTGTTTCTTCTTTTCCTGCCCCACCCTGAGCAAAACCACCACTGTATTTGCTGCTGAATCAGATACCAAAGTGCCTATCTGAACCAGATGTTGAAGCTCCTCCTAGACCAGGCGTAGTTCTCCTGAACTTATTTGCTGCTCAGGATGTTACTAAACTTTCTTCCTTTGTGGGCAAGGAGCATAATGACATAGATAATTTGTAAAGATATGGCAGCGTTTGAGCTCAGGCTCTGAGAGAGTAACCTTTCTGGTTGGTGGGTCCAGGTCCAGCCTGCAGGATGATCTCAGTATTCACAGAATCATGGAATGGTTTGAGTTGCAAGTTCCAGCTCCCTGCCATGAACTGCTTGTCATCCACCAGATGAGAAGGAGCCAGGTAATGCACAATGGGAGATGGACCCAACGCTGGCATTCATGTGGGAATTCTCAGCCTGCATGTTAAATAGGAGCCAGACCCCAACACATTCTGTAAAAGAGCTGATCGTAACACTGTAGGCAACCACAGCAAACAAGAACAGAAGCTTCTCCAGGCTCTATGAGTCAAAATGCATTTCTAGTGAATAATTTCACTACAGATAACTAAACTTTTTCCAGAAGGAAGATATTATGTCAGATTTTCCAAATGGCCAAGTGCTCTCACATGTACTGCTTTGTTTTTTGCTCTGGGTTGAGAGGCTTGTACTGGAAAGGTTAATGTTTCTCATATCAGCGGTATGTTGCACAATGGTTACATTACCAGGAGGAACAAAATAACAACAACAAAAAACAGACAAAATTTATTAAAGATTAATCATCACTAATCAAATTCCCATGATGATTTTGTCTGGAGGAGGCACATTGAGTGGCAAAGAAAGTGGAGCCAGCCCGAGTAAAAGCATCTCAATTCCTCCTCAATTCTTGCCCTTGGTGAATGAAGGCAAGAGTTGCCCTCAGTCTTAACAGGGGCTTTGATTTGATCATTTCTTCTATTCGTGTTTGACTTTTGTTTGAATTTCCCTTGGAGAATTTTGCAGTGGCTCCAGATTGAGTAGTGCATTGCTTTATAGACTTGAGATATTCAGAGATGCTCTAGGGACTTTGTTTGGGAAACTTCTCATCTAGCTTAATTTTTCATCTAAAGTTTGGAACTCATATCTTTCCAAGAGTGCAGAAAGGGAACCTCTTAAGATGTAGAGCAAAAATTTTATAACATAATAGAATAAAAAATTAAGCACAGAGGCTTATTATCAGAGATCCATCTTTCATCACATACAGATGTTTGGGGACTGAAGCTATTGCACTGCATGGATGTTTTAACTTGGGTAGGTGGGATTCCCAGGGCTCGCTTTGCACCCAGATGGAATCAACGAGGAATATGAGCTCTGTCAGCTCTGTGAGTTAGGACACTGTATGCACACAGCAACGGCAAATGTAAGACACAGTGAGCACAGCTGCACAGCCTCAGAGGATGGGGAGGAGAGATGTATATGATGTTGACCTCTCACTGTGTCCATTCCTCAGGGCTTGGGAGGGAGGAATAATCAGCCTTCAGACATCACATTATGCATTTAGGAAGGAAAGAGTCTAGAGGAGATGGTTTTATTAGGGAGTATAGTGAGAGAATGAAAGGGAATGGATTTAAAACTAAAGATTTAGATTAGACATTAGGAAGAAATTCTTCACCATGATGGTGGTGAGGCATGGGCACAGGCTGCCCGGAGAAGCTGTGCATGCCCCATTCTTGTGAATGCTCAAAGCCAGTCTGCATGGGACTTTGGACAGCCTGATCTGGTAGGGTGGAAAGTTAAATAAAAATTACTAGTGGTTCAAAAAGGGCTTGAGAAGGCATCAGATACTTCTTTTAAAAAGAGTGTTTTGAAAGTCATCAGTTAGAACATGCAAATTAAATATAAGGACATCAACTCTCCTTACACCACAGCTCAATTTTACTATTTAAATGCATGGCTCTTTCATTTTTGCTCTTCACAGCCCCCTGCAGGGGGGGTGACAGATGAATGCCATTCTTCTCACTTATGACTGTTGGGGTTTACTCGCCAGACCTGGAAACGCTGCACTTTTGCTGCCATTTCTGCAGGCTCTGACTGCTCCTACCAAGTGCAACACATCTGTGTGGGACTGGGGGTTCAGGTGGTTCTGCTTCCCTCATATGAACTGAGCACACATACAAGATTTCTGGCACCTTTGTGAAATAATGTTTTGATGCCTGATCTGACAGAAAACAAAGCAAGTTTGCAGTCATAAATTTAGGTGCATTTACTGGAGCTTGTACTCAAACTTCTCAAATAATCAAAGACATTCTATTTTTAGCAGCATTGTACCCTTGGTATTTACCTTCTGCTGCAAGCGGATGCTTTAGCTGCTGATATGAGATAGCATCACATCAAACCAACGTCTTTGTCCTACCCCTTTGTGTGCAGGGGAGCAGTGCAGCAGGGCGGGCACTGCTGGCACCTTCTGCTCCTCTCGGGGCCCATCAGAGGTGGTTGGCAAAGAGTGTAACACGGGTGCCCACCAAAGGCAGAAGAAGGGCTCACCCAAGGCAAACCACAAAGAATTTCCCCCTCTAGTTCCTGCCATAGTTTCAAAGTTTTCTTGTAAATTCTAAGTGCTATCTCTGCTGCCTTTCACAGCGTTTCCCTTGCAAGAGTAGCAAGGGAGCTCTGCAAAAGAAAAATGGAGTGTGGGAACAGATCAAATGTATCTGGAGCTGTATTTTCCCCCCTCAGATGGGAAGTGGGAGCAGTGAGAAGAAGGAAGGGAGCAGCTGTAGGATCACAGCTGAGAACTGCTGCAGATATGTATGGAGAAGGAGGGAGGGAGGGTAGGCGGCACTTCCATGTGCACAGCACGGGGATCGGATGCTATAGCAGGCAGTGGGCAGGAGGGGATCTGGCTGTCTGAATAAGAAGCAGGCCTCTTGTTGTAAGACAAGTTGTGCTAGAGAGAAGCTATTTTATGATGTTTCCTTTTAATATTGTTTTTGAAGTCTGAGAAGTTTAAAGCCTTTCCTGTTCAGTAAACTGATATTTTGTTAACTGATAAATTGATAGAATGATAGGCTGATGGGTTTATGGAACTACTGAATGGATAATGATATGGCAAATGTGCAGTGATCTGTGCCTCCAGATAATTTAGAAGTCAAAATCTGGGTGTACTCTTATCTCCCAGTGAGCACGAGGTGCTTCCTTCACCTTAAGTCAACCTGTTGTCTGATGTGGAGCATGTGTGTGGACACGAATGTGGTGCAGGTCATCAACATACTGTAAAGTCCTACCTTACAGTGGATTATTTATGTAATGGCAGTCAAATCGAAACTGAAATTTCTGTTTTTTTCAGCTCATAGGAAATGTGTTTCTTGGGCTATTCATGGCAAGCTTGCTTGCATTTTTAAATTTTTTTCTAATATCTCAGTTTGCCTTGTGGTGCTAACTCTTCCACTTCTCCAGAGAGTTTGGGATGTTCCAAAATTACCATCACCACATGTCTGCTTCAGGTAAGCATGGAAAGTTTGGATGAATATCTGAATTTCTGTGAGGAGAAGTTCTGCAAAATTGAGCTGGAAGTATTTCAAGCAGTCTTACTTTGAGATTTCTGTCACTTCTGCTTCTGCTTGTATCTGTAAATACGGCAGGAATAACCTTTCCTATAGTATCTCATCACTTCAGATCTGGCAACATTAAAAGTAACAACGCTTTTCTGAACATTTAGGCTATAGAAACAGATTTCTTTCAAGCACTGGAGAAAATTTGTGATTCTTATGTGATCTTCCTAGAGAAAACATTGGATTTTTTTTTTTTTTTTTTAATTCAGAATTAAACAGCTTTAAACTAAAACGTTGCTGTGTGGCAAGTCTCATATGCAGATGTGAAATGAGTTCAGAGGTGGTCAGTCTTATTCATGGTTGTTCTACGGCTCTACTCTGCACTGCTTTGTAGCATACAAATATTTGGCAGGAAGGGTGGAAATGGGAGGAAATTATCTTTTCCTCACCTGGTGGGATGGTGAAGTATGGTCACGAGTAACCAAACAGTACTCCTCTGATCCCTTCTAGTACTTCTGAAATCTTATTTGGTGTTAAATCAGTTCAATTGCCATGAATTTCTGGGATGCTCAGAATATCTTCTTGTCATTGGCTCAGTGGTTGAACCACTCTCATTCTGCTGTTCAGTATCTTAGAATGCACAAGAAGTGATACATATCAGACAAAGTTTTTCATTTTTAAGAAAATTATTGTAATACTGTGTATACACAATGAGTTTTTGCCATTTGGAGCATTGTAGTTCAACTTGCACAGCATGGAAAATGAAGGCAGGTGTTGTGGATCAGATGCTCTCCAGAAAGAGATGCAGTGTGCTGCCAGCAGGAAGACCTAGAAGGAGCTGCTTTTTTTTTTTTTGCTTTTTTTTTTCCCAGGCATGTTCTTTTACATATTCAACTGAATTTCTACTATGGACAACTGTTCTCAAAACATATGTAGGCCAAACCGTACACAAAGAATACTTTTAGCTTCAAGTTCTACTTGAAAATGAGATATTAAATTGACATCGGAATGATGAAAATAGACTCCATTATGCTATCTCATATGATATATTGTGACAGACACGCTTTCGAAACAACTGTTACCTTTCCTGGGACCTTCACATGCAATATAATTAAGAAACTAAGTGACGCAAGAGGAGATATGGCCATATGCAGTCATTTGCTGCCTTGAAGAAGCTTGTGTTTTTGTTGATTTGAGTATTATTATAATGCTATTTCCTCGCAGAATTTTATTTGCACAGAGAAGCCCTGTAGTTAGCAGATCATGGAGGACTGCAGATGGATGTGTAGTCATTTAATATGGATGTGAAGAGTTGGTCCTTCTACCTGCAAAACTTTGGAAAAACATCCCCCCATTCTCTTTCTTTTCTAGTTCTGAAGCCATTTACTATTGTAGATAGAAAAAATATATCCAGAGATAACATATCTCTGCCCTATAGTGTACAAGTAGTTTATTCAGATCTTTATTTTTCTTTGTTGACTGATCCTGCTGTTTTTAATGGCCTTCTCATAGCAGAGAAGAGACCTAAGGACTTTAAGCTAGTGTAAGATTTCAGAATGACGCAGAGGAAGACCGTTGATCTCTGCTTAATTCTAGTTTAACTGGCAGTCTAGCACATCTGTTCATATTCTCTGTCTCTCTTCTTCCCATCCTTGTGAGAAACAGAGCAACATCTTATAAAAATTAATATTTTCACCAGAACTGTGTATTTGGTTAAGATATTTTGCTGTCATCTGATAGAAAGTGGGACTCAGTATAAGTCTTCTGTTATTTGTATTTTATCCTTCTTTTTTATGGTGAAAGGTATTATTGCTAGTAGAAAAATTCAGAACAAA